CCGAATCCGTGCTGGACCCGAGCCGCTCCCCGGCTGTGTTTTTACCCCCAAGATTCCCGTCTCTCCGCTACAAGCGCTGTGGGGTTGCCCCTTCCCTCCCCTTCCCTAATCCCTAGAACTTTCTGCACTTCCCTGCAGGAAAAAAAATAAAAAATTCCCTGTTTGGGGCTAGCCCGGAGCTGCCTACGGCTCCGGCATGGTGCAAACAAGCGGGTGGAAAACTACCGGGAGAGCAGCAGGCAACTGCTGCCGGGTGGGTGGACAGGCGGCTTTAAGTCATTTTTACGGGACAAACCTCACAGGAGCCCCCGGAATCTGCCTGGGAGCGAAGGAATCCAGGCAGCCTCCCTCTGCCGGGGGATTTTTGGGAAGAACACGAAGCGGAGCCCCCCTGGCAAACCCCCGCTGGCAGGTGCGAGGCATAAACGGAGGCTCCCACGTTCCTGCCGCGGATTTATTAGCCTGGGAGCCGATCCCGGGGACAGCTGCCATTTGTAAAAGTCCTTGTCACTGCATGATGCATTCCCTTAATTTCCAGTCAAACGGGGAGCCTGAATATTTCTCTCCTTGCCGGCCCGCTGAGAATAATCAATCTCTCCCCCCTTGCCCCCTGCCGCAGCAGAAATAATAACGTATGTGAACATTAAAACCCCTCTCGGCTCCTGCAGCCGCTTTCATTTCGGATGTATAGCTGGGGGGATCGATTTGTTTTCAGCAACCATAAAAGCTTCGCCGTGAGACCTTTACTCACAGGAAAGGAAAACACATTAGCAAAGGCAAAACCCGGCGGTTCCGTGTTAGCCCGGCCCGAGCAGGACAGCGGAGGGACCGGAGCCCCTCACTCCAGGGCATAATTGAGTTGCAGGGGGACAAAACAGCCCCGGGGGGTTTGTCCCTCCGGGATTGCTGCTCATGAAAGCCCTGGTCCCCCCGGTGTTGCAGTTCTGCTTCCGAGCCAACGTTGGTCCCTCCAAGTTTCCTCTTTTGCCGTTTTCGGCCGTTTGGAGCTGCTGCGGACACCGGCTACCTGCAGCGAGGCTCCCTTGGGGG